CAAACCCAAGAAGGAAATCATCTAGTATATAAGGAAAAAAGATCAGGTTTAGATGTCAAATTGCAGTCAAGGAAAATGGCAAATTATGTATGAAGAGTCTTTTGTAATTTTTTTCTATCTGCAAACCAAAGAACTGAAACTCATACTTAAGCATCTACGTAAAGTAAGGAGTTTATTTTCAAAAGTAGGAATATCATTTGAGGCATTTAAAACCCCTTGAAATCAGATAATTCATTCACCAAATGGCCACAGGTCCCTAAGCTTAAATTGTTGAAAGCTAAAAAAAGTTTAGAAAATTGTGCTGTGGTTTTTGTGTCTTTCCTGAACATTCTTTCCTTTTCTGCTTTTCTTGCCTTCTTGAAACAAAATGTTCTCAAACACTGTTCTAATTTTGTAGTTGGAAATTGTCACTCTTTTAATTAGGGATGTTGCTGTACAAGAGCTACACACTGGCTGTACTGGAAACCAACCCTGTTTGCTGGAGACAGACCTGGGTTTGCCTGCTCTGATCTCTAAGGTCTGCAGGATCCTGTGGATTTCAGAGCACACGTAGGAAGATGCAGTCCCATCTCTGTGCTTTTAAGAAGGAAATACAAAATGTGAAACCAGATGTTAAACCTGAGCCACAGAGGAGCGGGGAGAGCATGAGTTACCTTCAACAGAAGGTAACCTGCAGTTCTAAAAACAAACAAAGGCATAAGGAGCTGGGATAGAAGGTTTCATTTCTCAAACAAGGCAGCGACTCACCCACATTCCTAAGTGTGCAAACAAGGGAGGTAAACCCTCCTCCTGGCAGACCAGATCCTCTGCATTTTACTGTGTAGAGCAAATCCCAAGCAAAGGCAAGCTGTGGTGGTGGTGGTGTGTTATAGCAGGCACAGCACAGGGCAAATGTATTTTGGAAAGGGACCCTCCTTTGTGCACCTCTGCGTTTACATGTGCCTACTTGAAAAAATTAAAGAGTTCAGAAGTTCCGCTTTTCACTTCTGAAAACACAATGAAAAGGAAAAGGGCTACTACTAGCAATCAGTTTTCAAGAGCCAAACTCATCTTTTCTTAGATACCAAGGTTTTCTAAGACTGCTAAGAGGCAGTAGGTTACTTTAAAAAAATAAAACAATGCAAAGACAGATAAGACAAGCCAAAAAGTTCACTGAACAGAGAGCCAAGCACTGTGTAGTGTGGATAAGGTGCTGTTTCTAACCATCAAGTTATCCATACGGGAAAAGCTGACATAGGAATACGGAAACTCACCATCCTAAATGTCTGCTCAGTCATTCCCATCACACAAGGCACACTTCACTGATGGAGGACAAGCATATTCCAGGTGACAGATGGCATGTAGCCAGGCTGCTACATGCCCAACTCCACCCTTCCTGCATGGCTCTCCAGGAGGTGGGGAACACTGTGCAGGTCCCCAGATGGTCGTGGCATCAACTGAGCTGCTGGGTGGCAGCAGTGGAGCCCTCAGCACCAGGGGTGAGGAGGAGGTGATGGAAAGGCTGGATGTGAGAAAACAGGACCAAAAAGGAGCCCAGAAAGCAGAGAACATTGCTAATTTGCAAGAGAAACTGCAGGAAGCCAGTATCTTTAAACTGTAAACCTCAGAGAGGTTGTGGTTAGGAGACACATGTTGCAGGGTGACAGGGCTGCAGGGAGAGCTATGCCTGTGCCCAGGAGAGACACCTCAAAGCCACCATGCATGTGGAGCCCCTCAAGGAGCAGTACTGGGTAGGTGGTCCCTCTGTAGTTCTGCCAGGGCTCTGCTGGGTGAGGTTTGTTCATCTGTGTGATGAAGGATGTGAGACCGCGAGCACAAAGTTCCCCTCGGGCTTCATACTTCAAGAAGCAGAATTAAGGCTGATGCTCAGTGTGTTCCACTTTATATCAAATTTTTCAATTCTCACATTTCCACACCCCCAAATGACATGTTTATTCATACTCTTGAAGGTGCCTGGAGCTGCTGCAAAAGGCAAATGGCAGTGGAGGGGGGTAGGGGGAACACACACTTGTTTGCTTAACAATTATCAGTGTAGGTTTGGCTGCTGGTGCAGGGAGAGTCCTTGACAGCATGGGCTGCTAGAAGGAACACAGAGCTCTCTGTGGAAGTATCAAGCCTCACACAGATAAAATAAGCTATCCTGGAGCTGAAGCCATGTTGAGACATCATGGAAACGCCTGTTCCAGCCATGCTGCCAAGTGCCAGCGAGCAGGGACGGCACACAGACCTGCTCCTCCGTGCTGCTGCAGATTCTGCCAGTGGCATTTGAAATATTTCAGATATTTCAGACAACCCTCGGCAGCCTCCAGCAGAGACTCTCCTGTCAGGACTACAGACCTTACTTTAAAAAAAATAATCCGCTTATCAAGTTGCAGAACAACAGCAATCCGTCTGGTTTATTAGACAGAAACAACAACAGCAGGGGAGGATTTTGCTGACAGTATTTCTGCCCAATTCAACACGCTGCCTTGATTAAGTGCCGGTTAGGATCAGTGCAACAGCAAACAAACATCATGAGCTCCTTACATTTCCTTGAGCAAAGGAAGAGAAACCATCACAGGAGATGGACTCCACACATATTATTATTAGTATTATCACTGAACATTTTGGCTGGCTCGTGCTGTTTGGAAAGCCCAGCTCTGCCAGGCTGCTTGAGAAAATCAGCATTTGTCCCCAGCTTTCGGCATGAAAACACAACTCAAATCCCTTCTCGGGGAACAAAGGTGCTTCCCAGGAGCCTGGCGTGCTGCCGGCATGCCGAGCGCGTAGCCAAGCAACGGCAGCCGGATTGGAGCTTGCGCCTCACCCGTGATGCTCCAGCCTCCACAAACAATTCTTGCCACGTAGACAAGACTGTGCAGGGTAATGGAAAATTACTGCAGGCTTTTTCTTAAAGGGCAAGAACCTCCATTGGCGGAGAAGGTTGATCCTCAGTCCTGTTTCCCAGCGCGCCCTGGGGTCATTCTGTGTTTCCTGCGCAGGGTCTGCAGTGTGTCACCGCACACCGGGGCATTAATACAGTGAAACAGCATTTGTGTGATATTTTGGCCTTCTGCAGTGATCGGAAGTGCAAAGCAGCGAGCTGGGCTGCAAGGAAAGCGAGGGAGCAGAGCAGCCAGAGCCGAACGATCGGCTGCGGCCGTTCTCGAGCTGCTTCAGACGCAGCTCAAACATGGCGACCTGAGCGTGGAGCAGTTAATGCGAGCTGATGCCGAAATAATCCTCCTGCGCTTGGCAGGCACGATGTTTTAATAACTGCCTGGCAAATTCCTGCCTGCAAGGCTGCTGAAAGAAAAAAAAAACCCACCTTTAAAGAAAGAGCGAACTTTGCTAGTTAGGCTGTTATCAGAGCAACAGCGGTTTTTACAAATTATGGCCATGTTTACCTCCAGTTTCTGGTGTAAAAGAGAGTTTAGTTATTAAGACATCATTGTGCTTTCCTAGCTTTAAATAGCCACACAAATAGCTACAGCAGCACCAAACAGCCTGTTCAAGCCAGTGCACTTTTGAAAATCACAGATATGCAGAGTTACCAGTTGGGCAGGGCATCATCTGCCCCCCGGGTACACGGCCACAGGAGCTGCCTGGAAAAAGGGGAACAGCACCAACCTGTGCTCTTTGCAGTGTTCCAAATTAGGTCCTGTATCCATTACAGGATTCATTTCATCTCCTGCAGGAACAAACGACACCACCTGTTCTTGGGGCACCCATGGGGAACCAGCTGTGTCCAGGCTGCAGCAAAAAGAGAAAGGCAAAGCTGCTCCTCTTGCATGCTCACTGCATGCAGCTCATAGTGGCCCTGGTGTGGCTCAGGATGCAGCTGTGCTTTCTGCCCTCTCTGAAGCTGCCAGCAATTTCAGGTATTGTTTGCCAGACAGGTTCTAGGTCATGTCCTGCAGCAATGGGGCTTTTTTTCTTCCTGAAGTTTTAACTCTCCTGCCCATTTTTTCTCAGATAAGCACTGGTTAAAGTCTCAACCCAAATCTTTTCACTTTGTTGTAGCCAGCAAATGAAAATTAAGCCCCTGCACCAAGTCAGGGGATTTCTTTGTAACAGAAACTTCCTCTCCCTTAAATAGAAACCTTTGTTGTGAAGCTGTTTTTATTGCAAGCCCCACAGGGAAAGTCATTACATTTAATAGAGGTTGACCTCATTTTCTAGTCCTCAAAATTAAAGCCTATAAGGGGGGAACGTAATTAGAAGCGGTGAGTTCTCAACAAAGATATACAGTACTTGTTGCTGCCTCCTTCTTACCTAAAGATTAATCTAATATGGCTTGGAAAGAGTAACTTGAAGCAGCTTTTGGCAGATAAGTGAACTCAAGTAAAATGCAAAGATCTGGTTTCCAAGAAGCCTTTTACAAGCTGTACAGAGAAATGAAATGAAACCCTTCAGCAGCACACAAGGCTTCCTGCTGAGCCTCCCTGGAATAGCTGCAAACCTGCATTCCGGTGAAAGCTAATCTCTGTCCGAGGATGGAGTGACATAAAGACGTGAGGACCACTGGTCAGGCATGGACCTGCTCACGTGGCAGCCTCTGCTGGGCTGGAGGGAATCGCTGGAATATTCTACTGCATTTCCAAGGCTGTGCTCTGAGGCAAAGAAAGTGAACGGGTTTGAGCTCAGTCAACGCACGCAAGGGAGGGAATGCAAAGATGCCCTGGCTTTGTTAGCTTTGCTAATATGACATGGGTTTCCACACAGTGGACACTGTTGTCATAGGGCAATGGGTGAACGCAGCACTGGCTACCACTAAATAAACACATTTTCCAAAGCAAGGCAGTGCACGGCAGTGATGGATGTCCTGCACCATGTCAGGGGCCTCACTGAGCCCAGCTGTGCTGGGGCTTTTCACCTTAACATGGCTTGAGCTTAAAGCATCTGTTCATAGCCTGCTTTTCAAGTAACCCCTGCACTTTTGCAAACTGTAGAAGATCACTTGAAATACACATTTTGAATTCATTTTCCCAGCACTCCTCATATCCCCATTGCTTACCCACCTCCTGAGCATCCCCGGCATTCCCAGTGCTCTGGGTCCTGCTGGTGAGGTGTCATCTCCCTGCTGAAACTTCTGCATTGCTATGAGAAACTCTCATTATGTAAAAAGAAAAATTTCTTGTTGAAAGCCCCAGGCTCCCTTTAATTTCCCTTTAGATTCTGTGGTTTGAACAAGAGTTTCTGCTTCAACAACACTCAGAACTTCCTGATTTCTGCACAGTTCTGCCCACTGCAAACAGCTGAATTTAGCTCTGCTATAAACTCAGCTTTGGACTTGGTTTCTTGAAAAATCACATAAATGTTGGTGTCCCTAGCTGAAGAACTTTCACATGGCATTGAACAGCAACTTCTTTTCTGTAGCACCAGCTCTCCTGTGCCCACACCTGCAGTAGGTTTGCTCTGCTGCCTGTTTGCCCCGTGGTTTGTAGCACAACATGCATTCCAACAGAAGAAAAGAAAAAGGCAGCTCTGTCAAAAACATCATCAGAAACTCCCCAAAGCCCAGAGCATGGTGGCTTAGAGCACCAAGCCTTTGTTCCTCCTCCCTGGGAACGTATTTCCACTCCACACAGGCAAAAGGGATCAGAGTCATAGAAAATGTGTGAGGAAGCTGAGAGCAGGACCACAGCAGCCTGGCACAGACCTGGGTGGATGGGCTGTGAGGACACGTGGTGGCCAGCGGCTCTCCTCGGGGACAGAAGGACACAGCACAAGTAAGATGCCTTTACTCCTGCACTCTACATCCCTCCACCCTCAGCAGGGCCAGGGTTGTTCTGGCTTAGCTAGTTTTTCCTCATTCCTTTTAGATGTAAAGTGTTGCTAAATCACACCTAACAATTCCCATCACACCTCAAGCAATTAACCCTATCCCATGGCACCGGGGAAGCCCTGGACAATGTCCTGGGACTCCCAAGAGCAATTTTGCCAGACATTCCATGTGAAGAAGGCTGGGCTTTTTGCATTTATTTTTGGAGCACTAAATTATTTTCAAAGAGCCTTTCTGTCAGGCTTGTCCCAGTATGAGCTGCCAAGTTGGCTCCTCCAGCAACATGAGCACCATTAGTAGGGCTGCCCTGTGCTGGAGTGGTGTCAGCACTTCCATTATAGCTCCTTTCCCCTGCTCCAGCCCTGTTATAAATGGGACACAAAAATCTAGTTCTGGCTGAAACACTCAAGAACCAACATGGAAAACAGTCATCACCTTAACCTGATCCTTGCTAAACTTCATCTGTCCAGGGAGAGAAAGCGGAGATTTAAAATATATTTTCTCCCTCCCATGCCTAAATCCTGAATTTTAAAATCCAGCTGTATCACACTCAAATTACTCAGGGGAAATTTTTTTTAGGTTTTTTTTTTTTTTTTTGTTAACTTATCCGTGGTAAATGGAGAAGGGGAGAAGTGATCCTTTCCCTCCTCTGCCTTTTCCTTTTGCACTTTTCAAGTGTTTCAAGCCAAACACTTGATTAAAAGTTTCCATTGTCAATCCTACTAATGAAGGCCACAGTTAACAGTCATCTTAATTGGGCACAAATCCATGGTAGTGTTAAGGGAAAAGATGGATGTCCTCACCACCCCTGGTGACACGCAGCCACCCAGGGTGCTGGGGCAGGATTAATTTAGCTGACAACTCACCAGGAGCTTCCAGCCAGCTCAGCCCTGGCTAAAACCACCAGAGAGCAGAGCAGGGGCACTGCCAGGTTGGGAAACAGCAGCCAAGGCTGGAGGGAAGCGGGAGTGCTCATGGAAGATGTTTTTTAATAGCTGGCTTTTAGATCAGCTGCTGCTCAAGGAGAAAGCAGCCCCTTCTTTTGTGGAGATGCTTCTTATCAAGTGGTCTTGCCATCAGCCAGACAGATGGATTCATCCATCTTTTTCTTTTTTTCTCTACTTTTCAGCTGGATCAGTTCCCTGAGCACACGAGCCAGCACACACAGAGTGGGGATGGGGGACTGGGACAGAGGAGTGAGTGCAAGATGCTTCCTGCCAGTAGCATCAAGGATTCAGGTGGTGCACACAGACCCCAAAACAGCCCCCACAGCTCTGGGCTGGGGCAGTTTCTCTCTCCAAAGCCAGGACACAGCGAATGCCCTGAGAAATCAGCAGGGGAAGAGAAAGAGCCCATGGCTTACTCTGCATTGTCTTAATGCCAGAGTGAATGACTATCCAGGGGGCAGGTATGTTAGAGGAACTACAGGAAGAGGAACTATAGGAGGGAGCCCACCAACTCTTTCACTCTTACAAAGAAGTTACACCACTTGTGGTTTCAATATTTATGCATTTTCTAAGCCCAGCGTGTATTTCTGTGTTACCCCAGAAAAGGCAAAGTTCGGAAACTGCTCAGGCTCCAGCCAACAGGAGCTTGTTCTGGTATAGTGACATCTGCAACTCTGGACTTGCAGAGGGTGTTTAGGAGATGCAGAAGGTAGAGATTCTGTGGAGTCAGGTGAGACAGCAGCCAGCTCAGCCCAGCCCAGCCCTGCCATCCTGCTTTCCTGTGGGAACACTGTGCTGCACCATCTGACAGTGTCTCCTACAACACTTGAAGCTTGTTGCTGCACCCAGCCACACTTGAAAGACACATTTTAGAGCCAAAGAGAAGTTTCTATGGATCTCCTGAAAATTCCTTCCCCCACTTGACCTCCAGACAGTCAGGATGGGAAGACTATGAGCACAGCCATCTGCCATCCCGCTGGGCTGGGCTGCACGTGCCTCTCAGCTGCTCACTAGTGTGCATGTCACCACATCACACACACTCTGCTTGCTGTGGGTGTGGTGGGAGACACAGGGAGATTATTTTTGCAGTGGAGTCTGGTAATACAGGACACAAATTTGCAGCAAATGAGGCTTTACTTCCTGCTCATTGAGAATCATGTCCCACTTGTCTGGTTAGTTCTGGAGGAGTATGCCAGAGGATGCATATTCCTTCGTAGGACACACATAATGCCAATGTAGCACCCTCAGGTGCTAACACTTGTAAGGGGTAACTGTTATTTTGGCTGATGTTCTCCATTTCAAGTCTTTTAGAAGATGAGGAGGTCCCTCAGCAGGCTCAGTCAAACATTGGTATCCCAGCTTTATCCTGCTGCTAGCATGGCTGTGGTGGTGACTGCCAGCACCATGGCTTTTCCTCTTCCACCCAGGAACCACAGTTTTCCCTGTGTCATCAAGTGCAATGCAGTGAGGCATTTGGCAAACTTCTTCCATGACTTGCAACTGGCTAAAATTTGAGTTGTCCTAGGAAGAATGACATGCTACCCTGTGTAAACAGAAACCCTTTCATGGAGAAATAATGCCAATAGCAAATGGAGGTGAGAGGTTAAAGCAATGCTCAGAGGACACTGGGTTTCACAGGGATTTTGACTTCACCTCTGATGCTGAGGTTTGGCTCAGCACTGGAATTTATTCCTTTTAAATATGTACCTAACGAGATCACTGACCTGCTGGGACAGTTGCATCAGTTTCCACCCCTGATGTTCCAGCTTCTGTTAGAGGTTCCATCAGAGAGAAGGGCAGTCCCTCCTGACACGTGTCTGGAGTCTGGCCCTGGGTGAGATATGAGACTCGTGTCTCCTCAGCTTCTCACCTGGGTGTGTAAGTGCAAGTCTTGCACAGGCACCTATGGAAACTGGAACCAAAGAGGTTGTACTGACCTCTCTTGAGAGGGGTTTGCCAGGAACTGGCTAATGCACACTGGTCCCATTTCCTTCTTCCATGTGGGTCTGGGACTTTTCCAGCCCCTAAACCTCTACCTGCTCCTGACTGGGGGAGATTTGCACAGACAGGTCCACACCACGGTCCTGTTGTCACTGTGAAATGCTGAGGTTCTCTGTGTAGAAGTAACTAGGAAATACAGAAAGATTAAATCAAAACTATTTCAGCAGTTGGGCATAAGCTGACTCCAAAGACTGTTGCAATTATGAGTTGTTGCAATTATGAGCTGTTGCAATTGTGAGTTAAGTTGTCATCTGGATTGTGCAATTTCCTAGTGTTTGAGAGTATCCCAACAAAGAAAAAAACAACAAAAAAAGAAATAATGAAACATGTTCTGTTTGCCTTATCAAATCAATAGCAGTAGACTTAAATCCCTCCTGTTCTGAGCCAAGGATAAAGCCCTGGCAAAATGAAAAAGGACTGTCTGCTTGTCTAGTGATGCTTTCTGTCCAGCACCAACCACAATAGGGCACAAACATCTGGTGTACACCTACAGATATATAGGGAGAGGTCAGACCTGAAATGCAGCCAAAACCAACACAAAGTGTGAAAAGGAAACACATCTTTGCCATGTAGTACTTTGTCCACAGCAGTAAATTGGAAGTGAATTCTCACTTAGGAATTAAGACATTCCTATTGCAAAGAAAAAAAAAAAGAAAAATAAAGTAATTAGGAAGTCAAATGAAAGGGCTGCTAAAATCTGCCATACTTGCTCAGTGTGTTAACAGCCAGGAGAATTGAACTACATCAGATATTCAAATGGACAGGATGAAATGAAGCACAAAATTCGAGAGAAAGTACAACTAAGCTCCCACAGATCTGTTTGGGGATCCCGGAGGACAGAGGTAAGAGAGAACAATTTTACCACCCAGCAGGAGTGGCACAGTGTCCTTAAACCCTGATCCTGCTCAATCCAACCCTATTCCACCTTAACACCCCACCACTTGTGCAGAACATTGCCCTTATTAGGGACTGGAGCTAAGTCACACAGACACCCACACACATACCCATTCCCAGCAAAGCACAGCCAAGGGCCCTCATGGACAATGTTGAGGGGGAGTGATAGAAAGGCACCTCTCTTTTTTATACTGAGAGCAGCCCTGCCAAGAAGGATTTGAGAGGCTGGACATGACCCAGCCATGTGCACTTATAACCTGGAAAGACAGTTATATCCTGGACTGCATCCAAAGCAGCATGGGCAGCAAGGCAAGGGAGGGGATTCTGCCCCTCTGCGCTGTTCTTGTGAGACCCCAACTCCAGCTCTGGGATCCCCAACATCAGAAGGATGTGGATCTGCTGGAGTGAGTCCAGAGGAGGCCACCTACTGTGGAGCCAGGCTGAGAGAGCTGGGGTTGTTCAGCCTGCAGAAGAGAAGGCTCCAGGGAGACCTAAGACCCCCTTACAGTGCCTAAAGAGGGCTTGTAGGAAAGATGGGGATGGATTTTTATGAGGGCCTGTCAGGATAGGACAAGGGAGAATGGTTAAAATGATTTAGATTAGATTGTTCCATTACCCAGTATTTACAGGGATCAGGCCCACGGCAGTCAGTGTAAGATGCCATAAATAGAAAATTTTAAATG